AGCCTGTGGAAACTACATGGTGCAGTCGATCAGACAGTGGAAATACTCCGAAATCGTCAGAGCTCAGGAACAGCTCAGCTAAGAATCAGAAAATCTACCCTTAAGATCAAACGTCATTATCATCCCAGTACTTTATTTTTATGTTTTTCTTTACTGAGCCTTTGGAGTACCCTTCTCTTAGAAAACAATGATTCATATTTCTCTTCCAACAAATAGAATGGATCTGCATCAAGTTCACGCAGACCTAAATAGCGCTGCGTTCGACTTTTTCCGAGTAGACTTTTAAGCGGATAAATCTAAAAACTGCTGTTTTGGGGTAAAGCATGAGGCGTTGAATCCGGCAGAAGAAATACATGGATGAAAAAGAATGCATGATACATCAACTATAATTGATGCTGAATTAAAACGGGAAATGCTGTTTGAGAGATACAGGTTAGATGATGAGATTACTCGTAATTTTCAACAAATCCATGACGTTGTAAACGCATAATCTTTCCATACACCATCAGATAGGCTTGATGATAAATAAGACTGCGGCTTCTCTAGTTTGAGGAAGATATAACAAACACAGAACTGTCTGCTCAAAGAAGTATTTTGTGAAAGCTGCAAGAAAACGAGAAACTTAATTGAACTAGTGAAACTCTGGAACTCATACAGAAGAAGCTCATCGTGTAATCTGTACCAAATGTTCTGATCTCGATGTGCATCTCTCTTGGTCTATTTATTATCATTTTTAACCATGAGCGCCATTTGTCAGAAATCAATCATATATAGAACTATTTTAGAACAGCAGTGAATGAGACAAAACTCACGAACTTGGCAGCTCTCTCGATAGGACTGAACTTTTCAGACGGATTGAATTTTGACGGTGTTATCGACAGTTATGCTGTAAGAACGGAACGGAAAATATGTTTTTAAATTTTACACATATCATAAAAATACAAATATTGCAACTAAGGCAAAACACACTAAAATTGATCTGATTGTTGTTCCTTGAAACCAAATATTGACGGGTAGTTCGTAGTTGCGGTCGTTTGCAAATTCATGACTGTCAGGCTCGACAAAAGCAGCTGCTATGCCACTGTAGGTATCTGTGGAGAAAGGTTGATTTCGCAGCACTCAAGATTCCACAACGGAAGTAGAGTAAGAAAGCTAAGGCATTAAATCTCCTGTGTTTCCATCTAGTCAAACCCCACGAGACTGCAGTAGAAATATTAAGATGATGGCGCGGCACATCCTAAAGGAATTCAAAACCGATTTCATCATTGGGAATCTGAATCACAATGCCACATTGAGAGGCCATCAGCTAAACCTTGCCACGCAGTAAAGTCAACGGGAATGCCTCCAGAATGCTTTATCTGTCTTTGTATGCCAAAGGAGGAGCGCCTGATCACGAAAGCGACTTCGTCTCCTACATTGTTAACATACAAAAATGTTTATTGACGGTGCATTTACTTTATGTGATACATCCACTTATCACCGGAAGTTAAGGTAACACAAACAAGTTGTGTGTTTAGTTGAACTTCCTGGTTGGTCCAACAAAACCCGCCTTATTTCGCTGAAATTACTATTTACCCAGCAATCCAAACCCATCCCATAGGACCTGGAAAGCTTTGGCTTTTAACCAGTGATATATCCTTTTTCCATTGTGAAGGATGCCCACTTTCACACCGACCACAGCAACTGGTGGTCATTGGGTTATCCTACTTTTAAAAACGTCATGTCTTGTTTCGGTCGCTGTCGGGCTCTTAGATTGATTATGGGGCAATAAAACAACATCGGTACCTGGTTGTCAATTTACCGATCATGTTTAACATCCGGCTATGCGTTAACTCTCGCACGGAAACGATTTCTCCTTGTGAGCTCTTGTTAAACCAAATGTACCCAGTAAGTCGTGTATGCAACGCAAATGTACTATTGGTAAAATGAATTGCAAATGAAACACAAGCCGGGAATTGCCGACCGGTTGATATACTTATCCGTAGAGTGCAAAATTAAGTACTGTCAAACACACATACTTCTGAGTTATTTTTTCTGCTGCTCATAAACTTTCCCCTTAGGTGTTTTATTCCGATCTATTTGAATTGCCCAGTGATTGGTCCTACTCAGGAAGAGAAACCATTTCTTCTGGCCAATGAATTGTCCGGGAAATTTAAGTTGCCTGATTGGTAGATGTGAAAAATTTATGAAAGACTTCTTGTCTCCGCCGTACAGAAGCTCAAGCATACGGGACTTTGTTATCTAGAGCAGCGCACTTTTCGGAATATCCTGCTATTTCACCTTTGCTAAACGGAAAATGCTTTTGCTACCCATTCCGTTCCAAGTTGAATTCATTCTCAGCTGTTATGCACTGTTCGAACTATGCTTCTGTCTGGGCTTCAAACATGAGAGATTAAAGATGCAATTTCAATTGAAAGACAATACTCCATCCAACCATTTGGTTGGAAGTCTATCGAGCGTGAAAAATCTTGAATACCCGCTTGCACGCGCTATGCTTTCCCCCGACAGCCTGTTCAAACTCACCACCAATGGGAATTTATTCACGCGCAATGCACTGGACAGGGATGAGATTTGTGGTCAGTTTCGGTGTTGTGACTCTCCTGTGTGTCATATAGGAATGGAGGCTTATTTATTTGATTCGAAATCGATTCCCATGGCTGTGAATATAGACGTTATTATTTCTGATGAGAACGACAATGCACCGTCATTTCCTATTTCAAATAGTAGACTTCAATCCACATTAGAACATGTATGGGAGCTTTATGTTTCCGAGTCAGCTCCTGTAGGGAGCAGATATCCACTTCTTATGGCTATTGATCGCGATTCCCCCAGTTATGGTGTGCAGAATTATAAGCTTCTATCAGCCAGATCAGAGACTGATAATTTTATAGTGTCGGGTTTGCCATTCAGTCTGATTGTGCCAACTCATGTGTCCAACGGTATAAAACATTTGAATGCCCCTGAACTTCAACTTGATCGTGTTTTGGACAGAGAGACAAAAACTGTGTACGAGTTTGTGCTGGTTGCAGAAGATGCTTCTCCCTTCAGCAGAAATGCTAGTTTACCCATTCGAGTTACTGTGCAAGACGTAAACGACAACGCTCCGGTATTTCTTAATTTGTCCTCGGATGCTATCCTGAAAATTCCCGAGGATATTCCAACGGGGTCTGTGATCCATCAATTTAGTGCCTCAGACCCGGACGAAGGTGTAAATGGGGCGGTTATCTTTTCCCTTGAGTGGTCTTCCTTTTACTCCTCTCAAAATCAATCCACCATCCATCGCCTTGGCTCTAAGTACGCCATAAATCCGAGAACTGGAGAAGTACGCGTTACCATGCCCTTGGACTACGAGAATGATTTTGAGCGTCGGTTTGTGCTAACAGCAAAGGCTGTGGACCAAGGTTCGCCTAAACTCACGGCAAGTGCAAGTTTGACAGTCTGCCTCATCGACGTGAATGATAACAGTCCAGAAATTGAAGTGCTTGACGTCGATGCAAGCACCGAAGATATAGGTAAAGGCGCTAGGGCGCAAGTTCTGCTTCACGAAAATGATCCGACCCCCATGCTGCTTAAGATGATATCCGTTTCGGATTTAGACTCAGTCTCTAGCGGGCAGGTGTCTTGCAGACTCGCTGATCAATATACGGGAGACTTTCGGCTGGTTTCCTATTCCGAGACTATGTACGGCTTGACAAATGCCAGATCATTTGACTTTGAACGTGAAGTTAGCCAAACAGGACACTTGGCTGCCCGACTGGCTTGCTTCGATATGGCAGATCCTCCACGAACTACGCAGCACTGGATCCAGATTCCGTTGGCTGACGTGAACGACAATTGGCCTCAGTTTGTCCAAGCTAACTATCGTATACATGTTTCCGAGGATACGTCAGTGGACTCGGTCATTGGACAGGTTAGTGCATTCGATGCAGATTCAGGTTCGTGGGGCACAGTAACATATCAGCTGACTACAGACGATGCTAATTTGCTGAAATACCTTAAAATTGACTCGGAAACAGGCATTATCCGAACTAGCAGTAAGTTCGACCGTGAACTGCTAGATATCATGGAGTACCACGTAACTGCCGGGGATGGCGGAGATGTAGCACTTCGTTCGCATGGGGAAATTGCAGGGCTCAAATTTCCGCATGACCGAAAGACCAACACCACCAGCTTGACGGTCATAGTTCTAGACGTGAACGACAATCCACCAGTTTACGCAGGACCAACTGAAATACATCTACATGAAAATGTACCAAGAGGAACTGAACTTATATTATCTCCTGGCTTCCTGGATCCCGATTTAGGAGAAAACGGTACGGTGCACTTAACTATATTAGCTGTTTTCATGCAGACAGCTGAAAAGCTCACTGCTTGGCACAGTCCTCCTTTCAAAATACTTAATTCATCGCGTCTGTTAACTTGTGGGGATATTGACAGGGAGAGGCACCAGAGGATAATTGTGGCTCTTTTGGCAGAAGACCAGGGCAATGCTTTACACTTAAGTTCAACCGTGAGTTTGACCGTTATGGTGGATGATCTCAACGACAACGCACCGTATCTGGTTCATCCACAAAATACCGAATTGTTTCCACTTACGATGAACTCTACAGTTGCTGTACCCCTGAATAGTCCAGCGTATACGCGCGTCATCACTATTCGTGCTAGTGATGCGGATGCAGGTGACAACGGCCGTGTCACTTATCAGCTATTAGGTGAAGAACGAACGGATGAGATAGATGAATCGAGAAATGGATTCCCGGAAAGAATTGAACGGGATTTCATCAAAACAGAATTCTTTGCTGGATCTTCTCATTTTTCCATTGATGAGTACACTGGTGAAGTGATTACTCTTTGGGGAGAGGAAAGTGCGACCCTACTGGATACATTTGATGCACATAACAATACGACGGGTAAACGTTTCCAAAGATTACTCCTCCAACCGACGCCTAGTATCGGTTTGTATATACTGCATTTAAAACTCACGGATTGTGGAACACCTGCGTTGAGCTCTCGTGCCACCATATATTTGAATGTTACCGATGATGCAGAGGACTCGTGGCTCCTCAGTTTGTTTGCAACTAACAGCATGAGCAGCACAATACTGCTAGTGTTTATAGTGGCGTGTCTGATAGTCTTGACTACAGGTATTGTGGCAGCCATTATGTGGGTTCGACACCGGAAAGACGGAGCTGGAACTACAGGACATCCTCTTTCCACATACACTGGCCCCTCCGTCGGCTGCCATAATGCTATCTCCAACGGCTATTACTACCCTGTGAATTGTTCGACGTCGGTCAGTTTGAAAGATCTCGATAAACAAAGAACATGGACCGGTTTCTATGAGGGTGCATCATACCCATATGAAGATAAGTGTTATACAGAACCCAGTAATAATCCCAATAACTACAGTACGTTCACCCAAAAACGTCACCATAGCAGTACTATTGATCCAGGAATAAATTGGTATAATAGTTCAGCCATTGAATTTAACAAACCGGAAGCCGATGGACAGTATATTTTCCAAACGGCACACGATCATGCAGAACCAGAACAATTTCTGCTGTCGGAACCTTACGCCTCGCAACCAGTCATGGATCTTCAACTTGTCCAAGACTTCTCAACACCAGGTGGATGCGGCTGGATAGATAACTACCCGGCTGCCAACGATAACGGTGGTGGGAGTGACAGTGGAGTGGATTGCGGAAATGACATTGTCCGAACATTCGTTGGACAAATCTTGGATGAACAGGTATTGAACACGGATGCCATTCTGACCCCCTGCCATGACCCAAATTCTGCGTCCAGAGCAGCTCAATACACAACACAAAACAGCAGCCACCTACCAGTCTTCATATATAATACGAACAAGCTTATGCAGACTATATCTGGTCAGACTACAGAGAAGCCTTTACGTGGAAAATACGTGCTCAAATCATAATTTCACTGCAAGGATTCGTGGAATACAATGATTGGAGACCAACAGTCGGTAAGTTGTACTTTATAATATTAATGCCATTTTGCATACAATAACAAGATGGCTACCTACAGTTAACCTCGTCACTTTCTTTAGACTAGACCGACCTAACCTAATTTATTTTACTTTGGTTAATTTGCTCTGTTTGTCCAATTTATATTTATTGTCCTGCATTCCAGCAACAGTTAATTATCATGCTAGATATTAGGTAAGTGCTTAATCATTTCGTATTGTTTTGCTAAATTTTGTTTAACAGAATTAAATGACGACATCTAGCAACACATCTGTAACCTATTAAACCGGAGCATATCCACCATCTACAATTATTGCTCTCCATTAACTTGGCAAGCAGTCGATTCTGCGGGCGATGGAGTTGTCATTCTTTGAGGTAATCTGCCCTTTGACTGCGGTCAGTGATACATCCAAGTCGTCATTGCATTAATAAAAATGTCTAGTTTGAGTGGAGCTTCTAGTAGATGATTCCGCTTCTGTCGAAAAAACAACACATTAACTTATTCAAGCAGCGAGTTTCTGAGTTTGCTCCGTTCGCAGCAGCAGATCTGGTGCAAGGTCGGACAAGTTCGGCATCGTTGGTGTCGCATAGTTGGTAGAGGACAAATTCGGCGTTTTGCCGTCAAATCTATCCATAATAAGTGCTGGAAAGTACCCCCTCATCCCATATATTCGCCCAAAGAAAAGCATACGGAAATCATATTTTAACGGAATGTCCCTAATAAATGCCGGCAGAAAACGTGTCAATCGATTGCTGAAGATTTGGTTCTCGAACGAATTGTTCAGTAACTTGGATAACTTGGTGACCGCCGTCGAAGAGTGGATTGTCCCTAAGAACAGCAGATTCGATGGGCTTTCCAGCAACTGAGAAACAGCGATTGAAATAAATAGCGAAAATGCTTCAGATTGTTCAATTAAAGATGTTTCTGTTAAATGTTGTTATTTTGGTTGAGTAAAATCTATCTCAAAGTAGCCAAGATAATTGTGCACTGAATTAGTAGTTTAGCAACATCATGTCATGTGCTGGTACCGGTTTTTACCCTATAATCAATGCTGACGTTCATTTATACGGGATATGGAAACCCAACAGCCATATATTGTGCACACTGATTTAGGCATGATTTGATCAGAAAGGCTCAAGCCGCATTAGTGAATGCGGCGCATGTGTGCCAGCGGGCGGTATTTATTCGCACTAGCCAGCTGGTTGTGAACATCTGCACCAAAACTGATCACGTGTCGTGACCACTGTGTAAACAAATGCCGTGAACTCTAGCACAGATTTGACGTAACCCCAGGTAGATGACGAACTCCCTGCTGGCGGGTATGCAAGTTGGCGGCATCCAATCCAACCATAAGCTAATAGTTGATTATAGGGTCGGACTAGTTCCATATACAGAATGGTCGTATGGGTTTTAATCTACAGATTTTGTGTATACAGGTGTCTAACAGACGGCGTGTTGCGTGAGCGTGAGTCGGATAACTTAGGCTAATTTTCATTCATCGTTTGCAAAATGTAAGTTATGATGTTCCATGATTTTCCATGGCTGTGTCGTTTTGATTTGCGCATAATGTAAACCAATGTATCGGAGAATTACATCGTTAGAAAGGACATTCGGGCCGATCTCATATTTGGGTCATTAAATCAGCAGTCTAATTTGTGTTTAACTGTGCAAGTACAGCGTTCCCCTACATTCTTCTGAGTCAATCAAGCTGTAGCTTTTAATGCTAAAACTAATCAGGTCCCCTCAACTTCAAAATAGGGGAATATCATGTTTGTCATTATTGCAGTAATGTGCTCACCGCTTTATGGGTACCAAGTATAGAGCAGATTGGCATGTCGGGCATTAACAACCAGATCCAAAATGAGAATTTAGTCTATTGTGAATGCGTTCGATCGCAAAGCGGTTTATTTATAAAGACCATAAAAAACGTGGACGGATAGAGTGTTTCACAGCAGACATCATTCTTTCAGTTCAACGAGTAAGCAAGTATTAAATGGAAGCAAACAAAGCACGATACAATAATGTAAAATTGAGTCATGATATGGTTGTACGAAAAGCACGAATTATATTCAGTGTCGTTTAAGTCCGATTTCAGCGTCAAAAGCTTGCACTTGTCTGACGAATGTTTTGGACTTCCATCGCCTCTGGCCAATGTAGAAACGTCGTTCTGCGATTAAGGGACCGTTCAACTTTTGTACAGCAAACGGATGTAGAGCGTCTAGTGGCTGTATTTGAGTTGATTGACGACCCCATCAGAGATAGATAAACAGCTCGTTCAATTTATTAGACACTTCTGAGTAGCATTATTTATCCAATTACTTTACATCATGGATGTGAGGATTAAATGCGAGATATCTAATCTATCAATCGTAACTCATAAGCACATTCATCCAGGTCTTTTAATTTCTGTCCTTGAACAAGTTTAATTCGTGTGTATGTAGCTTTTTATAATGCAGCATAACACAAACATGTTCCAGCTTTGGACACGGGAGTCCTGTAAATATTCGTAACCGTAGTTTTGTTGGCACATCAAAAGGAAATAAGTGCCGCAAACTCTTATACGCAAGCAAAAATGAGACTGCTATTATTATTATTATGCAATTTGCTGTTCGTTGTGAACATACAAAAAAGTGACAACCAATAACCCAATGCACACATGCATTTATCGAGAAATGGCATGCGCTCCTGTTTGTGGACCGATCATTCGTATGCAGGAACGGTAAGGCTGAGAAGGAGCAAATTGGTGGTGGAGCAGGCCACCCCAGGCGGTAAGTGACAGGGGGCTACCCTTTTAGTGACTTTGATTTTGTTGGATACCAAATACCAAGGGCAAATTTTACAGATAACCCGGTGTTTGAACATAATAATGATACTCTATAGGAACAATGTGTCACACCTGTACAAACTTTATTCTTAGCGATCGCTTTAATTGTTCCATAATGATCACTTCCACACATCTACGGCGACGTCATAAAAGATCATCCATTTCATCGGAAACAACCTACACTATCCTGAGACGATTGTGTTGCTTTCACGCGCGTATTATGCTTCCAGTCACGACGAGCATTTAACCACCGCCCCGGGCGGCGAAAGTGGTTTCTACGTCAATGCGGTAGGGTCACTCCAGATATTCTGACACAATCAAGGGCTTAATGCAATAGGCCCATATTTACGTAGGCGGGTAGGTTCAGCTGGTGCATCATGTTGAGTTTGATGTTGCACACATTATACCTCTTCAGCGCACTTGGACTGCACCGACTTACACTTACACTAGATCATCTCAAACTGGATAAAATAGTATTCAACTTTATTTGGTTTCCTCAGTTTTGTTATACGGCTACATATTCTATTTCAAACTTGCGCATTTATTTTCCCTCGAATTCTATGTGAATTGCTTGGTATCCCCGGTGTGGCGACGCTTGATGTAAATAATGACAAGGTGCCTACCTCTTGAACACCCACTATCCCGATTGCTGGCCCCAAGAGACGCATAATCATTTCTGGGAAGCGGACGGGATGCACGCTAATCCCGAGTTTGCTAGGCTCAAAGAGTGGTTTCACCCAGTGTAGAGCGGATTACGGCTCATCCACCGTCTTGTGTACATCTGGAACGCAGGATTCCCAAACTACTTAGACAGGAACGCTCCTGCTATCCATCTTGAATGCGTCTGAGCCACCTCCGTCGATGAAACCCGGCTAACATCCATTTGCCTCCCGGTGTTATTTTATTTTGGTTCACACAGCATATGTGATATATCGTGAAAGCTGCATGTAATGCAGTGCAAGCCATCCATGGTCCCTCTGTGGGCACAGGCGTCCTGTGACTGCTCTCACGGAAGCCGCGGTGACAGGTTAATCCGGAACCGGATGCCACCAGCCACGTTCAACTGGAATGCTGAACAGCTGGATTTGCATCAGTCTGCTCCGGTTGCATCCAGACTTGCCAAACACACGGGTGTTCCAGAAGATATGTATTTGTTCATATATTATGATGTGAAATGCAGTTGTCGTTCAAAATGCAACAGTGATATAATGCTAGGAACCGTCCCTTTGTGGACTCAATTCTCGGTGAAGCGAGAAATACACTTTATCATTATAAGGCGCAATAGTTACTTGTTGCGTGATAATAGGCCGGGTAAGACCTAATCCCAGTAGTCAGGAAAACTCAATTACGATTTAAACATTCGTTGTTTCACTATAATACTGAGGCCAGGTATCACCGGCGAAATCTTCAGCAACAATGCACATGCGCAACACAGTCTCATCTCGTGCATTCTATTGACGTTACACGTCATGGTCTTAGGCTGGTCCTAATCAGCCTGTTTTCTCACAAACTCATAATTGGTGCGTGTTTGTGCGCTCTAGCACCCGAGATTGGCCAAGCGGAGCGTATAGGTAAAGTAAACATCAAACCGGACAAAATGCGACGAGCAAGAATTTGACTCTCAGCAGTACTGCCAAAGGTGAGGGTTGAAAAACTGCGCGGAGATACACAAAGTTAAATTGCGGAAGTGTTGTTTGTTTGTGCTCCAGACGATAAGAACATTGTTCTAACAGACGAAACAATTTCCATAGGGTTGTGAAAACACTCTTAAATGCTACATGATTACCTGCAGTTGCCTGTGCGTTCGGCTCAGATTGTGTCCATTTGTCGCTTTGGTGCTCAGTTGCTAAGTTCAACCATGATTCCTTGGCGCCGTCTGCCTTCGAGTTATTTCTTCACTGAATCCCGCCGGGAATAACTTGGCCTTAACGTTTAAAGGGGGTATTCTCAGATTGAAGACAATTCAGTTTGGAATCAATGCTGAAGTTTATGATGCTGGTATTGATAAATTGCCCTACTTGGATAAGTTTTGGTAAAGGGAACCAAAGAAAATAGCAGAGCGAATTTGTCTCCAGAGACTGACAAATTCAGATGGCAGAAATTCGCTGATGTCATCTAATTTTGGG